TTCGAAAGACTTAGTTAAGTAGTTATGAGGAATAAAAATTTAAATTAGTAAAATAGTAATACCTTTAACTAAAAAGTTTAGAATAACGTAGTATTCTTTAACTTAATTATCTTAGGTTTATAGTATATTTATTATTTTAGGTTTATAGCGTATTTATACTTCTAGTGCAAGCAGATAGACATAATACAGTAAGAATCTAATATAGTAACTTAGTATAGAAGCTTTTACCTAGCCCCTTTTTACATAGTAAATATTAGTCTAAGTATATAGTAATAGTAATAGAGAGCTAATTAAAATACTGTCTCTTTAATAACTAGCTGCTTAATATACTAGTATAGATATATATTTAAGAGCCTAGGCAGCTGTTAGTTAAAGTTTAGTTTAGTTATAAACTCTAGATTATATTATAAACTATAGCTAGGTTATTCCTAGAGGACAGGGATTAATGTATTACGTTACTATTGTGTTTTAGTTACGCATGCGTTTTAATTACTTATTAGTTCTTATTATATATTTACACTAACTACAGTAGCTAAAGTTTAACCTAGTTATAACCCTCTACTTCCTATTACTATTACTATTACTATTACTATTAATGTTACTATTACTACTACTTTAAAATTAGCTAGCTTTGTCCTTATTCTATATTAATTATATAGCCCTATAGTAAGGTATTATACCTTCTAGATTACTACTATAATTCTCTTTTTCTAGGTAGTATACCTAGGATCTATAAAAGCTTGCTTAAAGTAGCTCTTATTCTTAGTTAAAGTAGTATTATTATACTACTTAGTAGTAAGCTTATTAAGTTAGAAAAGCTAGGTATTAAAGAAAGCTCTATTAGTTTTATAGACTTATATAAGGAGAAGCTAAACTCTAACCTTATAAAGCTATACTTTAAGTCTTTTATTAAGCTTAAGGTACTATAAGATATTTTTATCTTTTAAGTAGAAGGTATTACTATTATACTAAGTAATACTCTCTATTTCTTTATACTACCTAACTAGGTCCTTAGAGATCTTACTAGAGATATCTAGAGTACTATACTAGTACTAGGAATTACTTACCTTAATTCTTTATTTATTAGCTTACTATAAGATGCAGCGTAGAAATACCTAGGCTATACTAATAAGGTTATATTATTAGTTAGCTATAATTATAGTTATAAAGAAAGATAAGATAGATAGATAAAAACTCCTAAGGTATAAAGGATATTTATATGCTAGCTTATTTATATAAACTGTTATTACTTATACTTTTACTAAAGCTGCCCTAGTTATATATTTAAGATTACTAGTTAATTAAAGAGTTTTTATAACTTAGCTATAGTTTATAATATAATCTAGGGTTTATAACTAAACTAAACTTTAACTAATAGCTATCTAGGCTCTTAAATATATGTCTATATTAGTATATTAAGCAGCTAGTTATTAAGAGATAGTATACTAATTAGCTCTCTGTTACCTTTACTATATACTCCTACTAATATTTACTGTATAAAAAGGGGCTAGGTATTAGCTTCTATACTAAGTTACTATATTAAATTCTTACTATATTGTGTCTATCTGCCTATACTATAAGTATAAATACGCTATAAACCTAAAATAATAGCTAGGTTATAAAAACTTAATTAACTAGTAATTCTAAATACATAACTAGGGCAGCTTTAGAGAGAGTATAGGTAATAATAGTTTATATAAATAAGCTAGCACATAAATATCCTACGTACCTTAAGAGTTATCTTTATTTATTTATCTATCTATCTTATCTATCTTATCTTATCTTTTTTTATAACTAAGATTATACCTAACTAATAATATAATCCTATTAGCGTAGCCTAGGAGTTCCTACGCTACGTCTTATAGTAAACTAATAATTAAAGAATTAAGGTAAGTAATTACTAGTACTAGTATAGTACTCTAGATATCTCTAGCAAGATCTCTAAAGACCTAGTTAAGTAGTAAAAGGAAATAAAGAGAATTACTTAGTATAATAATAATATGTTTTACTTAAGTAATTTAGATATTAAGTAGTATCTTATACTTAATAAGAAACTTAAGGTAAAGCTCTATAAAGTTAGGGTTTAGCTCTTTCTTATATAAGTCTATAAAGCTAATAGGGCTTTCTTTAATACCTAGCTTTTCTAACTTAATAGCTTTACTACTAAGTAGCGTAATAATACTATTCTAACTAAGAATAAAAGGCATTTTAAGTAAGCTTTTATAGACCCTAGGTATATTACCTAGAAAAGAAGACTTATAGAAGTAATTTAAAAAGTATAAAACCTTACTATAGGACTATAGGATTAATATAGAACAAGGACAAAGCTAGCTAACCTTATTAGGAGGTAGTAGTAAGGGCAATAGTAATAGTAATAGTAATAGGAAGTAGATAGCTAATAATATAGAAAGTTTATAACTAGGTTAAACTTTAGCTGCTGTAGTTAGTATAAATATATAATAAGAACTAATAAGTAATTAAAACGCGTGTAAAACTAAAACATAATAGTAACGTAACACATTAATCTCTATCCTCTAGAGATAGTATATTTATATAAGTAGTATAGGCAGAGAGTTATAATATAGTAAAAATCTAATATAATAACTTAATATAAAAGCTAACACTTAGCCTCCCTAAACTTAGTAAATATTAGTAGAAGTATATAGTAAAAGTAATAAAGAGCTAGTTAGCTATGTTTTAATTTCTAGGTACCTATTAAACTAATATAGATAAAAACTTAAAAAGCTTAAGGAATAATTAAAGTTCTTTTTAGCTTTAGTTTATAAATTATAGTTTCCCTAGAGGATAGGGATTAATGTATTACGTTACTATTATATTTTAGTTACGCACACGTTTTACTTACTTATTAGTTCTTATTTTAAAGTTTAACCTACTTGTAAGTTATTAGCTATTTACGTCTTATTGCTATTACTATTACTGTTACCCTTACTGCTACCTCTAGCTTTATTCTTATTCTATATTAATTTTATAGTTGTATATTAAGGTTTTATACCTTCTAAATACTTCTATAAGTTTTCTTTTCTAGGTAGTATACCTAGAATCTATTAAAGCTTACTTAATATGCCTTTTATTTTTAGTAAAAAGAGTATTATTATACTACTTAGTAGTAGTACTATTAAGTTAAAAAAGCTAGGTCTTAAAATAAGGCTTACTAGCCTTATAAACTTATATAAGAAAAAGTAAAATTTTAACTTTATAAAGCTTTACTTTAAGCTTTTTATTAAGTATAATATACTACTTAATATTTAAATTACTTAAGTAAAATATACTACTATTATACTAAATTATTTACTTTAATTCTTTTAACTACTTACCTAGGTCTTTAAAAATCTTATTAAAGATATCTAAAGTACTTTACTACTACTAGTAATTACTTACTTTAATCCTTTAATTATTAGTCTACTATAAAATAAAGTATTAGAACTCTTAGGCTATACTAATAGAATTATATAACTAATTAAGTATAATTTTAGTTATAATAAAAGATAATACAAGATAAATAAATAGATAGATAGATAAAGATCTTAACTTCTAAGATATAAAGGATGTTTATATATTACCTTACTTATATAAATTATTATTACCTATTCCTCTTCTAAAGCTACTTTAGTTATATATTTAGAATTACTAGTTATTTAAAAGGTTTTTATAACCTAGCTATAGTTTATAATTTAATCTAGGGTCTATAACTAAACTAATCTTTTACTAATAGCTGCCTAGGCTTTTAGATCTATATTTATACTAGTATATAAGGTAGTTAATTATTAAAAAATAGTAATTAATTAGCTTTTTACTACTATTACTATATACTTTTACTAATTTTTACTATATAAAAAGTAGCTAGGTATTAGCTTCTATACTAAGTTACTATATTAGATTTTTACTATATTATATTTATCTACTTGTACTTTAGGCATAAATACGCTATAAGCCTAAAATAATAAACTATAGTTAAATTGTATATTTTTTTTACAAACTAGTAGTATTAGATATATAACTAAGAAACTATAGTCTGTTTAGAAAAGCTAGTATATAGATATTGTTTATACCTTAAAAGTAGAAATCTTAATATTTTATATATTTATTTATTTATTTTATCTTTTTTTTTTATGCTACTAAAATTATACCTACTTAATTATATAGTTTTACTAGTATAGCTTAAGAGTTTACATAATACTTTTTATACTAAACCAATAGATTAGGAATTAATATAGGTAATTACTAATACTAGTATAGTACTTTAAATATATCTAATAAAATCTTTTTAAACTTAATTAAGTAGTAAAAGAAATAAAAAGTATTACTTAGAACAATAGTAGTATATTCTACTAGAAAAATAAAAGTATTTAACAGTACTTAAAGTTAATTAAAAACCTAATGTCTAGCTTTATAAAGTAAAGAATTTAGCTTCTTTTTCTATAAAATTATAAAGTTAATAAAACCTTTTTTAAAGCTTAGCCTTTTAAATTAATAAGCTTACTAATAAGTATTATAATAATACTACTCTAACCTAAGATAAGTATTACTTTAAGTATACCTTTATAAACTCTAAGTATATAAGCTAGATATAAAGAATTTTAGAAGTAATTTAGAAAGTGTAAGACCTTACTAAAAAACTATCTAACTAATATAGAATAAAGATAAAGCTAACTAATTATAAGGTAGTTAGAATTAAAATAGTAGTTATACTATAATATTAATATATTACTATTAAGTAAAGAGTTAATAACTTATAACTAGGCTAAAGTTTAACTACTAAAGCTAGCGTAAGTAATAAAGACTATTTAGTAATTTAGATATATACATAACTAAAACACAATAATAATATAATATATTAATACCTATTCTTAATAAATAATAACAGCTTTATTCTACGCTTATAACCAAGTTAAACTCTTACTAATAGCTACTTAGGCTGTTTATTGCGCTACTACACAAGTACGCTAGTAAATGGGTCGGAGTTGGGTTATGGTTAGGTCTTACGTAAACCCAACTACAACTCTACCCGAAGTCTGTGCGACCCTAACCTAACCTGGACCTGTTATTAGGTACCCTAAACCTATTTACTACTCTATAGTAGTAAATAGGTTAGGGTTGGGTTAGGGTTGAGTCTTACGTAAACCTAACTACAACTCTACCCGAAGCCCGTGCGACCCTGACCCAACCCCGACCTATCGCTGGGTACTCCGAACCCATTTACCAGCCTATACACAAGTAAATAAAGTAAAATATAATATAAACTTAGTTTTATAATCTACTTCTTATAACTATATTTATTAATTTGTACTAATATTAACCTTTTTTTATTGTATAGTACTGGAGTTAATACTTAGTTAATATACTGTAATCTTACTAAATTAAGTGTATTAACTTATATAACAACTGTAAATTTGCTATAACTCTAATCCTATAGAGTACTGCTATTACTTGCTTAACTTCTAGTAAGAAATATAGATGTTATAGGAAAGAAGAGTTTAAACTTTAAAGATAGTAACGCTATCTCTTTTTTTAATAGACGCTTATATGAGAACTTGTAAACTTTATAAGCGTATGAATTTATGTTTAAGGCGATTAAAACATGATATTAAATTACAGCCACTGAGAAGCAGATAGCCGGATGTTGTTGGACGTCCTTCAGCCGCTGCAGTGAGCGCAACCCATTCCCTATTACGATTCTAGTGATGAGATGTTCTGAACCGACGGCGTGGAACATTCATCACGCCTAGTCGGCCGCTTGCCACGTCGACGTGACAATTAGATAGTCTGCTTTCCGCCGTTTCAATATCCGGGGCTTTGTCAGAACACGTTGGCCCCTCGTAAAGAGGGGGAAGTGGCCAAACGCAAAATTCGACTTTGGCATTGCACATTACCCACCATTCCCAAAAAGCAGATAAAATGAGGCAGTTCAGAGTGTTTATTTAGGCTAGTGATCCTCTGAGAGTACAGGTGAATGTTCAGTTGCACATATATCATAATTCACGACATTCGACGCCTCCTTGCATCTTAATCTATCCACGGCAATTGCGTATCCTGAAGGGCTGGATCTAGCGGCCAATCCTCATCCTCATCTTCAATGGTTACTAGCTCTGGCGGTGAAGAGCATGAAGACCCTCGAAGCCCTATTTGAAGATGACCACCAGTATCTTCCTGCGCCTCTCAGCGCACCCGCCCCCTGCCCGCCTGTCTCTGGCCGTTCAGAGCTTACCTCGGGCATGGAGGTGGACCCTGCGACATTTCCAGAAGTGGGCCGCGACACGAGCGTTGTCCCTGCGGATGGCTCAGGTAGAACTTTGTTCAACGGTTACAATACCGTTCCCATGAAACTGTCGGACGACCATGTCCTTACTCGGAGTTAATCGGTTGTCGCGATCCCGTCGCCCTTAACACCTGTACCTTACAAGATGGTCTACTCCAATGCCGAGAAAGAGGAGGGTGCGAAGAAGATCAGAGAGAAGAAGAGGAGGCTGGAACAGGGAAAGGCTTGAGTTTGAATGAGTGATTGGGCATTGCTTTGACTCTGGGTGTGTTGTGGAGTATACAAAAGGATCGCATCGGGCTTGTTCTTATTTGTGAGCGTACATCTGAGATGGGTAGATGAGTATGAGACGAGAAGCATTCGTCTGAATTAACATGGTCTATTTCTCCAACAATCGACCTCAATAAGCCATGGTTTGTTCTTATCTCCTGTCCATACAAGGAACTCAGTCGGGCCACAACGGCGACGGATTGATCTCCATGGTCGGTTCCGCGACGTAGAGCATACACTATTACAAACTGTAGACAGATATACCGCTGTAGATTGTTTTATTTCTGTCTCATATTATAGTTGCGCCTGGGAGCAAGACGAGATATGCCTCATTGCGCGTAGAGCTAGGCACGCCTTTCCACGGAACCACTGCCAGCAATAGAGCGAGATCAACGACATCACCTCGCTAGCACTAATACATCGAATCTCTACATTCATCTCTCAGCATGGAAAAGCCGCTGCACAAACATAACATACAGCCAGTGAGACTAGGAACGAGGTGTCGGCCAAAGCACTGACATGTATGGTGACGGTCTAAGTGTTAGGGATCGACGGGCGGATCGTTGGGGTCGATTGTCATGCTTGTTTCCAGGTAGCGGCCTGACATTATCGCAGTAAGCGCATCTTCGCCGCTGATGGTCGGAGGTTCAGTTCCCGGGAGCTGTGAAGCCTTTTCAGGCCTCGTTCATACTCATGAGCCAGCGTCGCTATCGGCGCGTCTCCGCCTCGGCCGTAGAAGCGCATACACCCCAACGGCGCCGACAAACATGGCGCCGGCCAACGACGCGTACATGGCCAGCAAGTAAGGGTCCCTGTACGTCGGGGTTAAAGCGAGGCCGAGCGCAGAGCCAGCTGCGGCGGTGAGGGCGAAGAAAGCCTGCAGCACAGCCTTCATGCTGTGAGGCGCCTCGGTGAAGGCATACTCGTACATTGCCGGGTTTGAGAAGATCTCGCCGAGGCCCTCGAAGACGTATATGGGGATCTGCATGGCGACACTGACGCGGTTGGGCAGGCTGCCGTCTGGCGACGCTGGGCACGCGCGCGGATGGTCGTAGCACGGGCCTGACGCGTAGATGTAGCCCTGCACGCCCGCCGCGAAGCCCATGGCCATGGCCTCGAGCAGGAAGCCGAGCGCGATGCGCGTCACCGGCGGGAAGCTGATGCGCAGCTTGCGCAGCAGCGGGTACAGGCCGTGCGTTGCTAGTGGGAGGCATAGTAGGACGGTAATGGCGTTGAGGTCGGGCATCAAGTCGTTGGGGACGCCACTTGTCTCCATGTTGGCTGCTTGGGAGATTGTATTGCTGGTGAGTTGGTTCTGGCAGAGCCAGTAGACGACGAATGGGCCGCTATTGGAAGTCAGGTATGGTTGCGTCTCTGGAGGGGTGATCAAGGACGACCACTCACCCAATGCGCGCGGCGACTAACGCCTTTTTCATCTCCTCGATGAAGCTGTCACGCCACTTTACTGTCTTGCCAGTATCTTCGGCCACCTTTTCAGGTCTGGCGGCGTCTAGTCGGAACCCGTTTCTGACGGCAATATAGATGACTTTCCACGCCGATGGGAGAACGCTGCCGTCTGGAGGAAGATTGACTGTTGAAGTGTGTTAAGACTCCGTCTCGCGACGCTTGACGGACTGGTTTAAGAGGTCTCACCATAATGCTTTCGGCCCAGGTAGAGCAGAGTGAGGCCAAGGAAGATGGCGCACGTGCATATCAGAAACGCGACCCAGAAACCGATGTTCTTTTCGAGCAAGGTTGATGCAACAATGGCTTGGCCACCGATATTCACACACCTTTTGGTGTCAGACCCGACCGTGGTTCAACAAAATTGTGGATTCTTACCAATAGTAGACGTTGAAAGCATACTCGACGGTCGCCTCACGGTCAACAATGACTCGCTCTCCCGTCTTGGAGATCCTGATTCTAGTCTTGGATGCATGGCATTGCTCCGCTAAATGTCGCCATGGTTTAGCAGCTGCAACGAGATTGTGCGACAAGCGGGTGTAGGGATTCGACTGACCTAGGAATGGCGGCAACGTGGACTTGACACCTCCGACACCAAGACTGATGATAATTAGGGCGACAATCAGACCGGGAAGTCCGGAGCCTTGCCTTAGCAAGGGCGGGAGAGACGTTATTAGAAGAATGGTAAGTCCGACGGCGTACATGCTGCAAACAAGTAAGTTGTTGTATTGCGCAGAGGCTGCGCGAGAGTTGAAACTAACCAGAAACAGGTGCGAAGGGTCTTGTAGTGACCAAGATATGAATCTGCAATGGCTGCCGTCGCGAGAGGCGTGACTTGGCTAACGAGAGTGAAACAGTTGATCATCAAGGAGGCAATGTCCTGGCCGAGTCCCAGGGCGCCAGGGCGCAACGGGTCGTCCCTACGATTTTGAATGTAGTTCTCTGCCCTTGGGTCAGTGGCCAGTTGCGTTCTTGAACGAGTCGTGATGCTCACGGAGAATGCCCAAGAAGCCATAGTAGGCATAGCGCTCGCATAGAGAGACGACGGCCACAAGGATAGCCATTTTTGGCAGCTTATCTGCCTCTCGTTGACATGTCCTCAGATCTTCTTCGGTCGGTTCCTCGAAATGATTGGTCTCAGCATTAAGATGCTGAGAGCCGGCTGTTGGAATCGAAACAGAATTTTCCTTCTTGGCGGGTCTGTAATGTCAGTGTCTTATCTTTTGCGCCAAAAACGTGAGACTCACATATTCTTCTCCTCGGGCGTGTCCATGATCGATGGTGGATGCGGCTCGAAGGAACATGCAGGGAGCTATCATCCCAGGAATGTGGGAGAAGTGACAGGTCGAGTCATTTATAGGAGACGACAGAGCATATGGCTCCGAACTAAGCATTCGAGGCCGATACCGTCCATCCATCTACCCAATGCTTGTGGTCATTCAGTTCGAGCGTCGGATACGGTATGCCGAATGGAGTAGGATCTAACCCTCTTTTTCGGAGTAGACGCTCAATTCGGTCAGCTTACTCCGATGATGCGCCCCTGTAAGTCTTTGCCCCGTCGGCAGCTCCACTACCTAAAATGCATTAGCCACTGCTTATTATTAGCCATTATGACACGTGCTATAGGGCTTTGATCATGTCAGCTTTAAGGGAATGTACATCATCGGTTGCAAGTCCGCCGAGCAAATTTTCTCTGGTTTCAATTCATCTACTATGCACTGGAGTACTAGCTACGCCCGGAATGGTGTAATGGGAAGTCTAATTTCTCTCCGCATCTCCTTTGCCGCAGCAAGAATATGTTTACGGCCCTTGTCAGATGACACAAGCAAATGACCAACGAGGTTGGGTGCTGTTGCAATGGGATTTGTATAGTGGTAGTAGGAGCCACCTTGGTAGACCATGGCGCCGAGATCAGGGCGTCGCCTCTTCAGATCAACAGCAAAGCACTCGCCGTTGTAAGTTCCTGGAAACTCGGTGTTGATGAAGACGATTGCGGTAATGGGTTGAGCCTCGGGCGCGTACTCGTGCGCCAGCGCAGTAAAGCGCACGGTATCTTTCAGAGCTGCGAGCAGTTGCAAAGCAGTCCAGTCCACCCCGCTCTTGAATGCCGTGATATACTGAGCCATGATGCCAGGCGCGCGCTGGTTGATTTCGAGCAGTGTGGCGGTCGGAGCCTTGGTCAACTGCTTGCCATGAGGCCGCAGGTCCACGCCATTGGCCGAGGTATAAGCCATTGAAGAGTTGGTGATTCGGGCCTCGAGATGGAAGACGCCGGTGTGGAATCCCAGCTTGACAAGCATACTCCTCAGCTCGTCTCTGATGATGTCTGACTCGTTGGGTGGCAGGTTTGAAGGATAGAGCATCTCAGTCTCCAAGAAATTCTCTTGGCCGGGGAGATCGTCTCGTTCTGACGTGCAGGGAAAGTCGTCGACCAGCTCGTAGAAGAGAATCTTTCCGTCTTGCAGCACAAAATTGGCGTCGACCTCGGGGCCGTCGAGATATGTCTCAATGACAATGTGAGTGCCGTGTTTTGCAGGCTCGAGAGCAGCGACGGCAGCAAACAGCTCTGCCTCGTTGGTGACCTTGGAGACACCCTCCGAGGCCCAGCCCTGACTGGGCTTGACAATGAGCGGGTATGCTGTGACCAGACCGTCTGACATGGATTGGCGAAGTTCTGCGGAGCTGTCGACTTGGAAAGAGTTGCAGTCTCCGGGGAACAGAGATCGAGTCTTGTACTTGTCGACGGCGGTTTCCACGGCCGACAAGGGCGCTGTGGGCAGTTTGAGACGAATTGCAGCCCTTGCAACGTCGACGAAATAGGTGTCGGTGAAGGTGGTGATGCCGTCGTAGGCGGTGCCATCTTTGATGAGGGCGTCGGCAATGCGATCAGCCAAGCCGCCGTCCAGCTCCATGTCGATATCGATATACTTTTCCACAGACTGGCAAAAGCCCTGGTGCTGCAGCCATCGGCCATGCTGTCCAACGATGGTGATGTGGATGCCGAGGTTGAAGGCTGCTGTTAGCCACTTCTCCATGATGACTTCAGGCCTGCAGCCGACGAGGACCAGCCGTTTCGGAGTCCATGGAGCAGGGCCTGGTAGTTGTTAGCATTACAACGGAAGTGCTGGGCGAGATGCGAGGTAGCTGACAGATCCATGGGAAAGAAAGCCTGGCCTGCAGCTCTTGGTTCACGCCTGGCGAGCTTTGGACATGCTGCTGTTCTAGAATGGCACCAGCGGCGTAGCTGAGGATACTGAGCAGGTCTGTGCTTGCACCTTGGCTCTCTTGAAAGGCAGTCATATGCTGATCGAGGGAGACAAACTCCTCGACTCGTTCAATGGACTTGCTGATAACCAGGCGCTGGCGGAGTATGTCTGCACGCACAATGCATCCGTCTTGGGCGGGTAAGATTATTTGTATAGTGGCCGCATGCCTGCCGCCGCTGCCCACGCAAACGAGGCGTGCAGCCCAATCGAGAAAGTCGAGCGCAGAAGAACACTGAGAGTTCAAGCCAGGCGGAAGTTCAGCAATTTGAATAGTCTGGCCGTGAAAGGAGTCGTCGGTCTTGGGGGGGAGGCTCATGTGCACCCGGAGCACGTGATAGTAGGCGGGCTGAGGTGAATGCGCCGTCTCCAATGCCCACTCGCACACGACGTTGCCTGTGCCGGTCAGCAGCTACCGGCGTTAAAGATGCTGCTCGCCTTACCCTCGCGACTGGCCAGCAGGATGTTCTGGGAAGGTGTTGGCATTTTGGTGGTGTCATGTGCTGGCCGGAGAGGCGCAGACACAGATGCACTTTCCTGGAACATGTTGTCGGCGATAAGGGTCAAGAGGTGGTGCAAGACCGAATCGCAAATGTCGCAAGTGAGCAGCTGAAGCGCGTACGTACTGTACTTAACGCGCAACGTGCGGCAGCCCCATTAGGACGAGCATGTCGGAGTGCGGCATATCAATTAGGCAGGTGGAGAAGAGCGACTTTAAGCTGATTCTCATGGCGTCACTGCCCCGATTTTAAAATTATTGGCATAGACCTTACTATACTGTAGAAGAACTCCTCATCCTGACAGCGCACTGCGATACTCGGCCGGCTACAGGGTGCCTTTCGTAACATAAGGATGGTAAGCCGGACGTCCAACATAAGCAAGAGCTTATTGTTCTTTCCTGCTTATGAAGCTTTTCTCAGCCGTTCTGTAAATCCTGCCAACACCATATCTACGCAAACGAGCACCACGCGCCGCCATGTCACCTAATCTTTTCCTCCTTCTCGCTTCCGCCCGTCTCGCCGACCACGTACACACAGCATCCAGTCTTGCCTCACCACTTAGTCTGCGAGGCCATCTGCTCGCGGTCCAGCCTGCGGCAAACACTCGTGGCCCAGCTTTCCAATGTTGCGTCGCAACGGCACCCGCAGCTCGTGCGAGCCCTGTCGAAAGGCAAAGGTGAAATGCGACCATCACGCCCCATTCTGCCAAAGATGCGAAGCGCGCGGCATCAGCGCCTCATGCGTCTACCACACGGCTCCCTTGACGCGCTCGCCTGCACCCGAAGTCCGGCGGACTCACAAGCTGTCCACGCAGCAATATCAAACTTGCTTCGGAGTCATGGATCTGTCCGGTGACAGGCTGAGCGAGCCGGCGCTTCCCAGCACTCAAGCCTCATTCACCGCACCTCTGGCCCCACCAGCCATGATGCAGATCTACACCGATGCTGCTTCCAACGCCATACACTCGCGCCCTCCCTCATCCTTCGGTGGTAGTGACGTAGAGCTCAACGCGCAGAGTGCTCCAAAGGCTGCCGGCTCTGGCTACTATGGCTCAACCAGCTACTACTCTGTCTTTGACCGAGTCGACCACGTGCCGACCGCTACCACAGATTCTCAGCCTTCTGGACCTGCTGGCGACACGCTCTCTGCAGGTATACGCGACGACGACCCCTGCGTGAGCCGGTCACTCCAACTTGGATCCTGGATACTCCAAAACCTCCAACACGCCTCCATCATCCAGTCCCTCGTCGACATGTACATTCGAACAAGCCAAGTATCCCCTACGGCGACTTTGATCCCTCTAAAAGCTGTGGAGACCCTGCAGCACCTGGCCAGTGGAGACGTGCATGCTCTGGCGCAAAAGACCACCAGAAATACGCAAAAGCCGCTACAAGTACCTCCTGAAATGCACGCAAGCACCTTCAGCACACTCTTCACCGGCGACAACCTGCGCTGGGAGTTTCTTGGTCTCGTCTTTGCCTGGGCCGGCTTGTCTCTGTCCATGTCTCTGCTGAATGAAAAAGGCTCTGCGACGACGCCAGACGGAATCAGCAAAACCTCCTTTGCCCAGCTCTTAACCGCTTGCAGTGACGCGTGCATAACCCTCTGCCGCCAAAATGCCCACACCAACGACATACTCTCCTGGTGTCTCTATGAGAACCTCATTCTACTAACCTTTCAGCACGGCGAAGCAAGTGAGCATTAGCCCTAACAACCCATTTGTATCAATTTAGCTTCTAACAGAGAGGCAGGCCACGCATCTTGGCAGCGACTTGGAGACCTCTCCACCGACATTCTGGCCCTCGGCCTGCACAAGGAACCCGCGGCGACGAGCACCTCGCCTATTTTCCTCGTCCAGGCTCGAAGGAAGCTATTTTCCGCCGCCTTTCGTGTCGACAAGAGCATCTCCACCTTCTTTGGCCGGCCACCCCGGATACCGGGTCACTACTGCGACGTCGGTCTTCCTCTAGACGTCGACGACAAGCTCTTCCATCAAGAAAACTTTTGTGTAGACCACCTTCGCTCCGTACTCAACATGGCCGGTTGGAACATCGACTGCAAGATCCGCCCAGCTTCTTGGATTCGCATGCGCCATACCGTTGGCAAAGTCACGGAGGAGATTTTGGAGCTGTCTCTGGGCGGCGCGCAAGACAATTTGGTTTACAAAGTACAGTGAGTTCCTTCCAACCCGACTTTGCCACTTGTAGGCGTTTGCTGAATCGTGTCAGGGACATATTGACTCGCTGCAATGAGACGTGGAACCGGATCCCGAGCCATCTGCAGTACAAACACAGCTGCTGGAACGATGGTACCCCACCAGGAACATGTTTGATGCTGCTGCTTGTCTACCTGGAACATCTGCAGAACGAATTCCAGCTGCAGAGATTGCTCTGCCGCCAACAAAGATGCGCCTCGGACGCGCTGATCAACATTAGCATGCGCATGCTCACAGCTGCAATGATTCTCCCCAGCATCCAAGTCGACAGCGTCAACATACATCGCGATCGTGCATGGATTGTAAGCAGTCTTCCTCGTACCTTCTTGCCAATGTCACTGACACGTATAGCTCTTGTACTATGCGCTCCCGAGCGCCGGCGTCCTTGCCATCGACCTTCGCATGCGCATGCAACAGGGTTCTAACCCTCCACGCTCAATATCGAAGTCTGAAGTCATTAGACACACGAGCGTGCTCGCCGCATCGCTGCAATGGGCGTCGGAGCCGTCTGGCGGCAACCACAACCTGTGCGCCGGGGCGGCAAAGACGCTGTCGCGCATTTTGGACGAGATTCTCGACAGCTCCGGCCAGAGGAGCGAGATGAGCACGAGCGGCGACGTGAGCGGCACCAAGAGCGGCACCGTGAGCGGCAACATGTCGCCCATGGCAATGGACATGGACTACAGCATGCTGGCAGAGCACGGCGTCGACTCGGAAACCTTCTTGAACTGGTTCGATAACTTGGAGTGGGAGACGATGCACCAGCCCGTGCCGCTTCAAGTGTAGATTGCGCTGATCTACAGTGGTACGCATCTCATGACCATCTCCTTTATGACCATATCTCAAAAGTACATCACAACTATATTGTGACCATATCAAAAATCATATCATGACTATATTACAAGTATAACGTAACTATCACATGTCTAGTATATCATGAGTGCAGTACGAAGTATTCCCACTGGCCCCGTAATGGCATTGTCTTTGCAGGGAAGCCAGCTATAGTATACAAAAAGTCACGTTGTCTACGGAACACAGTATTGTTTGTCAAACTCGCTATTCTAGCTACAACATTGCCATCGGCTCCTGCTGCGGAATCGTGGCAACCTTGTCGTGGTACATCTGCTCCGATTCCCGCCACAGCCTGTGCTGGCGCCAGACGTCGAGCTTGGTAATGGCCGGGTAGAGAGCCTTGCCTGCCGTCTGGCTCGAGTCGCGGGGTAGCAGACTGGGCAGGTAGGGGACTGCAATGACGCTGAGCGGCGGGCCGCAAGGGACAGGGACCTGCAGCGTGGGCTGCTTGTCGGAGGTGAAGTCCCGGTAGATCTGGACGGTGTTGTTGGGGCTCTTCGAGTCTGTGCTGATGTCGCAGACGACCGACAGGCGGCGGTCGGGCGCCTCCAGGCTCGCCATGGTGAGGAAGGGCGGGACGGGCGCGAAGATGCTGATGCAGTTGACGAAGATGTCGTGCTGCAGCACCTCTGGGTACTCGCTGGTGCGGCTGGTCTCCTTGCGGCCCCATTTGGTCATGTTGGCAGCGGGGATGCCGAGGTCGGCGAAGAACGAGGCGGAGCCGACGCCAGAGGTGCCGTGGGCGCCGATGAGGATGATGGTGGGCAGGCGGCCAGCAACGGCCTGGCCTGCGGCGAGGTCTCGCTTCGTCTCCTCGAGCAGCGCTGCGCGGCTCGGGTACGCGGAGATGCCCGGGAGCGGGCCAGCGTTGGGGTGCACGAGCTGGTGCGCCCAGGTCTTGATGGATAGCGCGGCCGCCATGGCGCCGGCTTCGGTGCCAAAGGTCAGAAGCTTCTCGCCCTTGTCGTTGACGAGGAACTCAAGCTCCAGCAGGAGTCCGCCGCCGCGTCTGAAGCGGTTGAGGACCTTGTCCCAGCCAGCCTGATTTCGGTATGCGTGTGCAGCATGCACGTGGACATGCTTGAGGGGAAAGTCGTCCATAGGGATGCCCTTCATGCCGAGGATGAGGTGATCTCGCGGGGCTGATACCCACGAGCCTGCCGGTACCAAGGTCGCTCCTGCAGCCTCGTACTCGTCATCTGAGAAGAAACGGATGCTGCTTCGTTCTATGTGCACATTGTAGCCGTCGGATATGAGCTGTTTTGCAGATTCAGGGGTGATGATGGCGCGGGTTCCAAAGGGGGCCGCTTCGGCTCTGAGATGAAGAGTCTTGCGTGACATGGTGAGGACTGTTGTTGATGCAAGTGCGAGGATGAGATTTTCTGCCCGGGAAAGACAGAGAGAGCCAGGTTCATTGGGGTTAAATACCATGGGATCGGTCTACATACTGAGATCGGTCTACGTACCAGCCCCGGACAGGCCGCCTATGTGCAACACAATGGAGTTGCATGCGCCGCTAACAGCCCGAACGAACTACTCACGCCTAAGCCGCCTCATACTCCGGGGCTCCGCTGCAACGTAGATCTTGAAAGTTAAGCCCCGGTTTTACAGTTTTGGGTTTTCGGAATAAGGCTTGGCTCGGACACTATGGCGAGCTCCGGCCCACAGCGGGCCGACGGGAGACTAGCCCAAAACAGATAATAGTCCTTTGTGTCCTTGTTGCAGCTTAGCTACAGCCCAGCCGGGCGCTTGTAAGGCCGAACAAGAAGCAAATGCTTCGTTGTGTTCGTCGTGTGCTTGATTCAGCTGAGGTAGCCCACTTCGGAAGCTCCGTGCCAAACTACTATATGTGATGACCGCAATCGATCGATTAGTCCGTGTACTACTCGGCAGGGTCTGATCGCGCCACAAATGCTTAGATGACGGAAGTATCGTCTCCGATACCGTATAAACTTGGTCAATCCGTTCAATGCTAGACAAGGATTGTAACGAAGCGATAATTGACGATCGGGTACACAGGGTGGCTGGGAGTGGCTGTGCTTCTTCCACCACTCGCAGGTCGACTCGCTTCGCTACAACCCCTGTCTAGCATATAACGGATTGACCAAGTTTATACAACGTACGGTGGCACGCGTGTGCCAAAAATGGCCGCACACCAAACTAGAATAAACCTCTAAGAACAACAAAAACTTACCTCTTTTGCAGCAACAACATAGAATGACAACAAGCTATTTAATTGTATAATTCTTGTGAAAAATACAGCATAAGCTTCTGTTGCTTTTAGTCTTTCTAAAATCCTTTTTAAGACTTTGAGAAGATATGTAATCGTGAATTTGTAGCGGAGAGAGTTCTGGTGTGCGGCCATTTTTGGCACACGCGTGGGTGGGTGTATTTTCAATGTGGAGCCTGCATATGCAAGCCAGCAGCCACAGCCAAGATTGCTTGCGGCCAAACCAACCTGCTTACGTTACTGCATGTAACGAATAAGAGGTGCAGCGTCCAGCCACCCCCTCCCAGATCCACATTGAAAATACACCCACCGTACGTTGTACGGTAGCCCTGCTCTGCTCAGCAGGCTCTAGGTTAGGCTTCTGCGATGCAACCCTGTACTGCCGTGGCAAAAATACGTCTCGACACATCATCATTGGCCACGCTTATAGTTACACGAAAATGTATTCGCTGAAGAATTGCTCTCAACATTATCCACTGATGATACCTTCCAGGATACGCCTCGTCGCTGTAGAAAGACTTTTGCTGAGCTGACCTGCAGCCTCGTCGCTAACCTTGTCGGTCCAGCAAGTAAGGCTTGCAATTACCCCGCTGCGTTCGTAGTGATCAACCTCGAGAACTATGGGATACTAGAAATTGACAGTTAGTTATTTTGCTTCCAAATGATGAGCATGTGGCTATCCTTACCTCAAAGGGGTCGTCACTGGGACGTTCTGCAAACGATAAAGGGGATGAGCTCGCCGCCTCCTTTGAATGCCTGCGAAAATTGACGACAGAGTCAAACCAAGCAGACGAGCTAGACATGCTCTCTGAAGATTTGTTGCTCAGTGCTGTCATTAGATGGTGCTGGTGTGGTAGACTCTGCAGCAGGTCGTCTTGCACTGCCTCCAGCAGCTTCGCCGTGCCGTGGGCGGCAGGAGAGAGCCGGCAGGCAGCAATGTTTAGAACAGGCCCAACAATTTGCTCGATATTGTCAATGGGTGCGTCCCGGCCCGCCAATATGTATCCAAATAGAACGTCGTCCTTGCCCGTGGCCTCGCTAAGCACAAACGCCCATGCAGCCCGGAATATGGTGGCCAGAGTGACACCAGACTTTTGCGTAATGTGAAGAAGCTCTTCAGAGAACTCGACCATGTCAACAGGGGCTGAGAAGATCTCCTTCTTAGCGACTTCACGACTATTGTCAGTTGACAGTCGACATGGTTGCACATCGGCCAGATAGGTGTTCCAATATTGTACACTCTCCGCAAAAGGAAGGTGCTGCAGTCCCTCAACAAAGTCGGCAAAAGGACCCACCAGTTTCTTCGTGGCAGACCCACCGTAGTTCTGCGAGAAGGCGTCAAAGATCATTGGCATCGAGCCGTGGTCTATCAGCGCATGACTGATCTCGAGGCAGCAAGTAGCTGACGTTGCTGTGCGTTGGAAGATGGTCAGTCTGTGCTGTGGCTCCCCCTCTTGCCATGTAGTGCGTGGAAGGTCCAGGGGATTCTCTGCCCAGGCGCTCGATCCAACTTCTACAGCTCTCTCATACCGATCCAAGACCACATTGAGGAAAGAATTGGAGTTTTTCATGTCAGCGATCGTAATTGTTCGCAAGATCGGATTAGCAGACACTACTGTTTGCCATGCTGTGGCCAGTTTTTCCACGACCAGATCTCCAGGTCCATTCACTTGAGTTTCGAAGACGAGTCTGGGTCTCCAATAGCAGTCATGATGTTGCTGCCCAAGAAGAATTGCGTTCTGAGTCGGGCTTGCTGGAAAGACGCTCACTACTTTCGCGGAGCTCTCTCCTGTGAAGCTGATTCCCTTGGACCTGAGCACAATCTCCATTCGCGCCAGATCATCGTAGTCCACACTCATAAGAGGAAAGTCGGAGATGGTCTGACGAATAGGACTCTTGCTCATGGCAGTTGCTAAGAACTGCAGGTCGTGCTTGCAGTTTGAAATCCACGTGCTCACCATGTCCGAGTTTCTCATGGACCTCGGGAAGAGCCACTCAAACTCCAGTTGGCCGTCTTTAACATATGAAGCAACGTCAAAAATAGCAAAGCGCGGCATGTTTGTGCTCATGTCATACTGGTCGCCGAAGCCGTTTGTTACGATTGACAGGAGAGATTTGTCATTGTTTGATTGCTGCTGGACGCCGGTGAAGTTGAAGGTGAGCTCCGGTACATCAATCGCCACATCTTTGGACGAAAGTTGTGCTGCGAGGAAGTCGATGCAGTCCTTCTCTGCGCTGATCTTCGAGTCCTTGATTCTGCGCACAAAATCGACTGGATCATGGTCTGCAAGAACGTCGACCTGAACAGGGACAATGTTGGTGAACCATCCGACCGTGCTCGAAGGGTTCAGACCAGCTGCACGAGCTTCTCTACCGTGGCCTTCGACACACACTGCAGGAGTTTGACGATCCGTGAATGTTCTCTTGAATGACAATGCCAATGCAGCGATGAAAAGATCTGCTGGTTTAGTTCTCATGCTATCGTGACTTGACCCCAGGCAGAGACTGGTCAAGTCACGATCAAGTACAAACCCGGCTCTGCTAGAGTCTTCATAAGTGAGATTGTCACGGTCAATGTCCCAGTAGGCGTAATTTGTAGGCGGAAAGTGGCGATCGGACACTGCGTGTGAAACTTTGTCCTCGCACCAAGTCTGAAAGGGCAGTGGCGGGAGCGAAGATAGAGCCCCACCGCTTAGCGCCGCCTCCAAGTCTTCAAGAATCAGACGCCATGACACAATGTCGACAACTAGGTGATGGGCAACCATGAACAGAGTCTGAGTGCCGTCGAGACCTGAAACAAGATCTGCTCGCATGATTGGACCTTTAGCAATGTCAAGGCTTCTCTGACTTGTCTGGACTAGGTCAAGCAAATCTCCAGGATGACTCAAAGTGGACTCCAAGGCCTGGAACGCATTCTCGGTGCTCCGGCTAATCCTTTGAGTTGCAAGTTTAGGACTTGATAAGTCGAACTTGGCGCGAAGCATGGAGTGGCGAGTAACAACTGCTTCCAGAGATTGTCGTAGTTGACTAATGCTGATTATTCTTGCCAATTTCACTTGGATACTCTGGTTGAAATGATGTTTGTGCTGCGGCGGGGCAAGCGTAGCATAAAGCTGTTGAATTGGAGAAAGAGCGAATGCGCGCTCTGTGGTCTCTTCCTTCAAGGTCTCGCTTGAGATTTCAATCTGTCGGGCGCTGAGTGCAAGCGCCTCAATAGTATGACCTTGCAAAACGTCCTTCACCGTGAATTCGAAACCCAAGTTGCGACTGCGAGCCAGTGCTTGCATTGCTGTAATAGAGTCTCCGCCGAGGGAGTGGAAGGAGCGGTTGATCCCCACCTTTGTAGGTGAGAGACCGAGCACACTAGCCCACACTTCCTGCAACAGAACCTCCATTCGCGTTATTGCTGGCTTTGGAGCATCATTGATTTTGTCACCGGTGGAGAAGAGTGCTGCTCCATCTTCACTCAAGCCCGCAATCCAGGCTGCGATGACCTTGCGGTCAAGTTTGCCGGAGGTGGTAACTGGCATGTGTTTCAGGAGAGTGAGGCAGTCCGGAACCATGTAACGAGGCAATGCTCTTGCTAGACTTTCCTTGGTATTTCTGGCGAGGTCGCAGATAGTCTCACTATCCTCAACTTCAGGATGGAAACTCGCCGAAGGTACTAATGAGTCTGGGCCGACCACAGCCACCAAACGGTTTGCCAGTGGTCCCTGTTTTAGCACAAAGCAGAGACCGTGCCGTCCACTTGCCGATGTCTCCAGATGATGTTCAACTTCGCCCAGCTCCAATCGCTGGCCGCGGAGTTTCACCTGGTTGTCTTTCCGGCCGATGTAGATGAGGCAGCCTACATCATCGTACTTGACAAGATCTCCAGTCTTATACATGCGACCGCACCCTTGGGTTGAGGTTTGTGCCCATTTCGGATTGGAGATGAAAACCGCGGAAGTTTTCTCGGGCTCGTTCAGATATCCCCTACCGACGATCTCGCCCTGGATGACCAGTTCTCCAACTGCACCAATCGGCACCAACCGGTCGTGATCGTTGGGGTCCACAATCCACGTGAGACAACCAAGACCGCGTCCGATAGAGCCTTGGTTGGACCCATCTCGAGCAACGGATGCGGCAGTACAAGCAATGGTGGTCTCGCTAGGCCCATACCCGTTAATCAAATGAAGGGAGCCCGCCCAAAGCTTTGCCATCTCTGGTGCAATAGCTTCTCCTCCTACCACAATCGTTTGCAAGGTAGGCACATCAGAGGGCTGAAATAGTCGAAGAGTGGAAGGTGTGAAGAACGACCAGGTTACCTTTTTCTCATTGATAAACTCCATCAGGCGCTCCATGCGAGTAGCTTGGTTCGGAACCACGAGACAACCACCGTGGACAAATGATGCCACCACATCTCCGACAGCGGCATCAAAAGCAATGGATGCAAACTGAAGTACTCTAGATCCTGTATGGAGACCATAGAATCTGCCGTGATATTCAACGCTGGTTATCAAAGAGCAATGCTCGATCATGACGCCCTTCGGTTTACCTGTAGAGCCCGAGGTCATGATCAGATAGGCCAGGTCTCGAGGTCCCACCTTAGGAAACTTCCATGACGCCTCAACTGAGGGTAGAGCTCTGATGAGAGGGAGGCTCATGGTAACTGCACTCGCCTTTGCCGTGGTATGAAACATTTCCATGTTTGATGCCAAGACTAGGGGTCGTTTCAATTGACTGAGTATGCTTTGGATGCGTTCTGGAGGTGCATCAATATCGAGCGGAAGAAATGCACGCCCTGACTTCATAATTGCGACAATGGAAATGATGAGTGGCAGTCCTTTGATCAGATGCAGGCAAATGACAGTACCAGGGTTGAGCTCCACGAGAAACTTAGCCAGTCGGCTTGAAAGCTCATCAAGCTCAGCGTAGGTAAGAGCTCCATCCCAAGAGCAAACGGCAGGGTTATTGGGCTGTTGGCTGGACCAGAACGCGACGCGATCGTGAGCGAGGCCAGGTACAGGCGTTGGCTCTGAGCTGTTCCAGAGGTTTAGGCTGCTCTTGTCCTTGCTACTGACCGTGTCGATGGTGCTTAATAGATGGGCGTCACTCGCGACTGCCAATTGAAGCACCAAGTGTTTCCACAGGTGAAGTATGCGTTCCATTTTTGTCGCTGAAATTGTGTTTTCATCGAATCTTGCTTCCATGATTAGGTTGTCACCTGCCCAAACACATTCTAGAGCTAGGCAATGAGAATCTCTGTTCTCAACCTCGACAAGGTCTCCGAACAGAGAATCTTGTTCTCGCGCTTCGGCTTCAGGCTTCAGTTGAATGACGAGCATTGTCTGAAACTGACAAGCAGTCTTTGCGCCTTCACACGTCTGGCTGATGTTATTGAGTCCAAAGTGCTCATGAGGTGTAGAACCAGAGGCTCCTTTTTGAACATGCTGCAAGAACGAAGCAATGGTTGAAGACAGATTGACAGGTATGCGGACTGGAACGGTGGCCAAGGTAGGTCCCACCATTTCGTCCACATAAGGGACTGAAGCGTTTCTGCCACTCATGACTGCACCGAAGACCACATCTTCAGATCCGGTGTACTGACTGACAGCCAAAGCCCACGCTGCTCTGATCAATGTCGGTATTGTAATGCCGATAGCTGGACGGGCAGGGATTACCAGCTCAACATCCAGTTTATCGGAATGAGTCGGTTTATAACCAGCTGTTGGCAGTCTCGGGAATTGAGGAGCGCAGCAATCCTTCAGTGCTTGTGACCAAAATGCCTGGGATCTGACATCTTCTGAGGCCACCCGCGAAAAGTCGATAAAATTTTCAAAAGACATCTCAGTATTTCTTCCCAAGTCCATGCCTTTGTAGAGCTTTGCGACATTCTCCAAGCATATTTGCAAAGACCACGCATCGTACAGGGCGTGATGTAAAGTCCAAACAAACAATTGCCGGCCGTTCTCGTACACCAAGGCAAGCCTTGAAAGGGGTTTGCCGATTGTCATGTGGTCCTGTGAGTCTTCCAACAGAAGTTGACGAAGATTTCGGGTTGTTCGCCATACCAGGTGCTCATCAACAACCGCCTGAAGTGTCTCTCGGATTCCCGGTTGCGTGAAGCGAGTGCGCAGTATCGGGAACGACTTGTATACAGTGATCCAGCTGGATTTGAAGAGTTCAATGTCAACATCGACTGGTAGCTCGGAAACATACTGGGCCATGTATGAGCCAGGTCTCGTTACCATCGCCGCTGCCAGACTCTCTTGGAAAGAAGTGCAATAATGAAGCTGTTGGATCGCTCCATGGTTGACGTTGCACTGCTTGGCTGCCGAATCTATGAGCTCGACAGAGGATAGCTCCGAAACGCGTTGGGCTGATCTGGCAATATCTTTGGTTTCCACAAATGTAGCTGCATCTGCCATCTCGGCAAGACTGGATGCTTGGAGAACATCTTTTGTGGTCAAGCAGACTCCATCTTTACGGAGGCCCGCCACCAACTTTATGGCGAGAAGAGAGTTTCCTCCTAGCTGAATAAAGTTGGACTCGACTCCCAAAGCTTGTGAATGGACAGATAGAAGCTTCGACCATTGAAGCTGCAGAGTCTTTTGCATAGGTGTGATGCAAGTGACATTGGAGGATGCTGTGGGAGGTGTCGAGCTCTCTAAAAGTCGCTTTTCCAGCTCTGCTTCCGCCAGCTCGTGCAAGGCAGATCTGTCGACTTTTCCAGAACTGTTCCTGGGAAGCTCCTCAAGGGGGATGAAAGCGTTTGGAACCATGTATGAGGGTAGTTTTGAGAATAGAGAGCTTTGAATGTCTTTGCAGAAGCTGGAGAGAATGTCTTGGGTGGATTTCGAGGTACCGTGGCACTTCTGAAGGACGCCATGATCTAATACCAGAAATGCTGCCAGTATCTTGGCTTCTTGTTGTTCGTTCCTGGCGATTTGATCCACGACGACCGCACTTGCTGATTTACCACAATATCTTTTGATTCGTGACTCGATTTCACCGAGTTCAACTCTTTGGCCACGGATCTTGATTTGCCTGTCCTTCCTACCTAGGCAAGATATAGACCCGTCTTCGTTGAAACGTGCCAGATCACCAGTTTTGTAGAATCTGCGGGCCAAGCCAGTCTGTGAAGCCCATGCAGCATCTTCGAGGAAAGCTCCGGCAGTTTTCTTCTTGTCGCCGAGATAGCCACGTGCAAGAATGTCGCCTTCAATGACAAGCTCACCAAGCTCACCGGCTCCAACCAGTTGGTGGTGATCAGATTGGTCGACGACCCAAGGTCGGCAGCCCGTGGCATAGCCAATGTTAGATCGTGATGAATCCGGTTGGACTTCAGCAATCAAGCAGAAAATGGTAGCCTCGGTAGGACCGTAACTGTTGAATAGTTGAACCTTGTCAGCCCATTGATCCACGCAGTCCTGCGTTAGAGCCTCTCCACCGACCGACACGGTTTTCAAGGTCGGTACTTGATCAGGTGAGATCAAGGATATGACAGAAGGAGTGAAAAAGGCCCAATTAGCCTATTAGAAAAGAAGTTAGAAAGCGTCATTGACATTGTCAGGCCAGGAGATACTAACCCTGAGGTGATTTATCGAACCTACCAGTTCTGTGTGGTTGCTAGGTATGCAGATGCAGCCGCCGAAAATCAGTGTCGCAAAAATCTCAGTCATCGATGGATCAAAAGTATATGAGGTAGCCTGAAGTACCCTTGAGGAGGTACACATGCCCATTCGTCTTCCATGAGCCAACAGACTCGTGGACAAAGCTCGATGCTCAATCATGACACCCTTGGGTTTTCCAGTGGAGCCACTCGTAAAATATACATAGGCCAGTTGAGAAGCAGAAATGCTTCTTAAATTAGCACTTGATTTCTTTGGAAGACTCCTGATAAAGTCTGACCCCAGCCGTAGTGTCGTGGCGGGGGTGTGCATCGTTTCGCAGCCAGATTCGATGATCAACTGTGCGTCAGTCTGTTGGATGATTTCTTCAACACGACTTTGCGGGTAAGAAGGATCTACGGGTACAAATGCTGCTCCTGCCTTAAGAATGGCCAAGAAGGAGACGATAGCCCAGACAGACTTGTGTTGGCGACATGAGATGAGACTCTCGCGTTCTATCCCCAGACTTAGCAAGTGGTAAGCCAGTCTGGTAGAGTAGTCGTCCAATTGACTATACGAGAGCGTGTCTTGGGCAGAGCATGCCGCTGGAGCCCTAGGTCTGCTCTGTGCCTCTTGAAAGAATAGATCCAGGATGGTCACACCAGATGACGAGTGAGGTACATCGTAGGGCTTTGGTGTGAAGGCCCAAGCACTGTCCAAAGACAGTGCTGCAGTAGTAATGGGAGCCATTGCAAAAGTTCAATGGATGTACAGAACAATTGCTGTCTAATACAATGGAGAGATGAGCAGAATCAATGAGAAACTTTGAGTATTTTTGGCAGCGCTGGAAGAAAGAGAGCCGCTGATATTCAAATAAGCAGCCCGAAGCCTGTGATGCGGCTGTTCAGCCCCATTTCCAAATGGAATGCCGGTGTAATCATCGTGAAGCCCTTGCCCTTGCTAGGCGTATGAGCAAGTGGCGGCTCGGAGCTGTCTCTAGTTGCATGTAAAGCTCGCCACATGGTCTCACCTACATTAGCGCCCGGCAGTCCGAGTGCAGATCTTGTCCCTGACATCCCGCAAGCCGCATATCGTGCTCTTGTAGATCTGCAATCCTTGGCAAAGCTTGTAGATGGCTTTACTTGTGGACTCTCGCTACATGATAATACTTATAAGACAAAAATGTCAGCCTAGATAATGACCTACGTTATTTTACGAAATAGATATGATATTTCCGAATGTTAAGTCATGCAACACAACTGTGTGGCAATGTGCAATTTACAGAGTTGCAATTTATCTACAAGACTGTTCGCAATTGCTTACCGCCATGCTTACGACTTAATCCCTACCGCCCTAAGCTTCTGAAGGTAGCATGCTCTTCCGGAGCTAAATAAATCCTGGCTGACAGTCTGTAAAGAATGCTTACTCCGAAAACTAATGCAAAGTCCGGCGCGAAGGATGCTCACGACTTAATCCCTGCAGATGTTAACAAGCAAGTCAATCTGTTGCTTAAAACCAGCCGCTAACCCAACAAGGTAACAGATAAATCTACGGTAAGTAACTACTAGGCTCGAATAGGCAACAAGCAAGCCAAGTCGCGGTTTCTAAGCCCTACTTAATTGCTTGTTGACAACTGTGTTAATCCCTACCGCCCTGAGCCTCTGAAGGTAGCATGGTCTTCTGGAGCTAAAGAAATTCTGGCTGACGGTATGTAAAGGATGCTTACTCCGAAAACTAATGCAAATTCCGGCGCGGAGTTCAATCTGGTAGTCGCCGAGTAGCGTTACGGCAAGAGCCAAACACGCCGTCATTTAGAAAGAGGTAGTATGGCTTCAGACGTGTATACATTGATTAAGTTATTTATTTACTACCCACAAAGGCCTAGACATCTTACAAAAGCAAATCCAGGGAGCTTTTCCGCATAGAATTGCTTCTCGTCTTTTTTTTTCATCCTTTTCACATTATGTCTTCTACGGTGACATTAACGGCCACTAGGCCGCGGATATCAGTAGCTGCTGCTCCACTAGTCGCCAAATCTACTGCTCTGGAGGACGCATTGGCCATTGCAAAAGACCACCGGACTCGCGACACGGTCGTGTCTCTCCTTACCATCACCGCCAATTATGCCACTATCAGCTTGGCTATTGCGACGAGTGAGATCATGGCTCCTCATTTCACAGAAAACGTACTTGCCTTGGTCTTGGTGCGCGCTGTTGCCGTCCTTGCCATCTCTTCCCGTCTTCGTGGTTTCGAGAACCTTGTTCATGAAGCTTCCCACAACAACCTCTTCGCCAGCCCACAAACACACACAATGCTCGAACCACTCTACGCCTTCCCGGTATTTCGCATTGTGTGTGACTACCGAGCGTCACATCTGGTTCATCACAAGCACCTTGGTGACCCAGAAAAAGACCCAGATATCATCAGACTTCACGAGCTAGGGCTGCACAACATCAGAGATGCACCAATCTATTATCTCGCAGGCGTACCAGCAAGCGGATATCTCGTCTACGAATACTTGACCACCATATTTGCCGACTTCTGGACCAGCAAGAGTGTGCGCGTTAGCAAGTCACTCTACTGGGCGACGGTACTCGGCCTCGTCACGTGGACCAACTCCTGGTCGTTCTTTGCCCTCTACTATGTGGTGCCGCTCTTTTCCGTGCTCTCCACAACACGCTACTGGGCCGAGGCGAGCGAGCACATTGGCATGGACCTGAACTCGTCCTTTGCCACGTCACGCAACAACCTGGGCTTCCTGCACCGCTGGTTCCAGCACCCGCACAATGACGGCTACCACGCCGTGCACCACTTGCATGCGCAAGTCCCTTTTCACAAGCTCCCTGTGGTGCACGAGTTGCTCATGGCTCAGAACCCCGAGTACAAGAACACGACTGTGGAGTCACAGGGCATGTGGGAGACGTTCTGCCAGATGGCGACCAGCAAGACCATTGTCAAGGGACGGCCAACTACGGGCGACTGGAGCTGAGCGCTTCTCCTTCTTCTCAACCCAAGAATTGGATCGTGAGGGGAGGCTAGCTGGCGCAATGGATAGTAGCATAGCATGGGCGAGCTTCCATCATTCTGTGAGCTCATGAGTGAGAGTGATGAGATTGGAACGGCGAGATGTGCAGGTTCACAGCCAAAAAAGATGGCGTACGAGATGAAACATCTCACCATATACGAAGAATGTCAATACAATATCTATAGATGACTGGAAAAAATCTCATCTCTACAGATCGAGATCAAATTCACTGCACTCTGTTTACTTTGAAGACACAGTATCGGCTTATCACGCTGAGAAGAGACTCACGAAATGCCTGTGCAATCTATTGAGAGAGAACGACTTGCGTGAGCGCTGATGAACATCTTGACAACAACCCCAATAGCATTGCAGCAGGACTTATAAGGTAGAACTCATCTACTGGTCAGGGCGAGGATCTTTGATTGTCTGCAAAGTCGTACCCAACCAGGATACTTTGCATAGCAATAGTTTCGATTATTCATCGTCGTATAGACCTTCTTAAAACGCCTCTTTTGTGTCATAATCTTCGAAATACCACTCAGTAATCAAGTCTACAGCTTTGCCAGCGGCCGGGACGCAGCCATGGCGTGTACCATCTTTGCAACGTCGTATGCGCATGCATAGCTCGTCTGATACCCGAAACCACCATGACCATAATTGTGGACTATATTGATGTTGCCAATACGCTCCTGCTCCACCCTTGGGCCGGCTGTCCGGCATGGTCTGAAGCCTACCCTGTGGGAAAGAGTGTCCAAGGTGCCTTGCTCTTGAAGCTTTTGCGCAAGCTGAGGACAGTAGGAGACGCATCGACGCAAAATACGCGCCGCGAGGCCCGAATCTGCCTCGGGCTTGGCCAGTGCTCTATGATATGATCCGCCAAGGACAGTCCCCCCTCCTGCAAAACACGTTAGAACTAGTTCACGCCAGTCTCAGGCCGCAACGAAACCTACCCCCTGCGCGTTTCATGACGTAGGTCAGCTCTTCGGGGCCTTCATCCGAACCAGATACTCCAATCATACAGCCAGGATCAGAATTGACAAGAATCGTCTGACCGCGCACAGGCACGACTGTCGAGTCACGTACGCCGTGGAGTTGTGCGGCTCCCAAGCCCGTACAATTGATTACAACATCAGCTGTCAGTCCAGTATGGTGCAGTTTTGCGGCATCAAGAATGTGATGAAGAGATGCGCGTTTGACCTGGACGCCATGTCTCAAGCACTGGCCGAGCAGCCAGGGTAGATAGAGGGCTGGGTTGATACAGACACTTGTGAAGTGTGTCGTGAACATGACTTCTGGCGAGTTGGCGACGGTTGTGTAATCAATTCTAAACTGAGCCCACGGTAAGCTGAGATGAAAAACACAATGTGGGAAGATTACTTGCATTTGGCAGGAGATCCTTGAACCATGGTTCTGGCGAGTGCAGTCCGCATTGGACTGAGGCTGTGGCGTCAACACAGTCTTTGCGCCTCGTGTAAAGTATCGTGTCTAGACGAATGTCACTATGCTGTGAGACGACCTCTATCAAACTGTATGGCGTTTACCCTGAAAGTGTATGCCGGTGTCCGGACAGTCTGTAGCCAAGGCAGCAAGTGCAGGCCATGTATCGCGCTCCCACCGATGCTCTTTAGTACCGGTAGCAGAGAAGCTGGACATTGGATGTTAGTTCTCGCAACTGCTCATTCTTAAAAGCTGTCGACTTACGGTAGAAAATTAGCACCTGCCCATGGAGAGGTATAATGGGGACTGGAATCGCCCGGTAGATGTTTTGCAACGAGCGTCACGCGAAGGGACTGGTCGCGGGACAGAACGAGCGCAGTAGTGAGACCAATAACACCGCCTCTTTATGCGTAATATGTCAATAAAGACTCGGATTGAGATCAGATCAGTTTTGCCTACCCTACTACTACAACATCCCGTGGAGATGCACTCCGGGAAGCGAGCGAGCCTTCCTTCACTTGCAACATGTCTTCGATGTCAATGATGAGGGCATAAGATGCACATCTAGTTTCAGCGCGTGCTGCGGTATTATGTAAATGCGCAGGCGGTTGAGAGCGCTGACCAGATGGCGTCCGGGGTGGGTAGCGGAGTTCGGAATAGAAGTAACCCCTTTGGAGAACAGCGTTGCCGCGTCGCCGGACAACATCACGTGACTATGGGCTTTCAATTGGGTATAAAATCCATTTGCTGTGGACTCATGCTGCTGCAGATCACCAACATGGATAGTTTCGCAATCTCGAGCCAGGTGGCGCAGTTGCTGCCGCGCATGCAGGTGGTGGTCGTGGTTGCGCGCAATGTTCAGTTGAGCGCCACGACGCAAGAGCGTGTCCGTGCATTTGGAGAGGTGAGCAAGGAGTGTCGGCGTTGTATGTGAGAGAGCGAAGACTTATCAGAGCGCACAGTCAACCGCCGAAAGTACGCATGCAAAGCTTAGCAGTTTTCCCAATGCACAGTCGCATCCATTGATAGCGCGCTATCGGGACACGCTGAAGAAGGCCGTCTCGCTCTCGGCCAAAAAGTTTCCTCAGTCCAACGAGTCGCTCTATAAGCGTCTGATCAAAGACGGCAGAGCTCCTAGGCCCATCAACCCGCTAGTTGACTTCTACAATGCAGTGTCCATCAAGCATGGCGTGACAGCGGGAGCCTTTGACCTTACCGACCTTGCTGCTCTGCCCTCTTCGGGTTCAGCACCTGCCTCGCTCGAACTTCGACTCTCGGGCTCGTCAGACACCTTCCTAGCTCTGGATGTGGCTCCAGACAGTGACCCTGTGCTGATACCACCGGGAGAGATTTCATATGCTCGTGGCAACATCATCCTAACCCGGCACCTCGCATGGAGGCAGTCCTCGCAGGGGCTTGTGCAAGAGGGCACTCGCGATGTGGTGATTGTGAGCGAAATATTCAATGAGCAGGACTCGCCTGAAGCGAGCGAGTTGGCGAAAGCAGTCAAGACTGACTTGGTTAACGGCCTCCGTGACTTCTTTGACGTCGCGGAGCCTTTGAAGAGCATTCTGGGACAGGGCTTGGACAGCTTGAGTACTCCGTTATAGATATCTAAGCTTCAAAAAAGAATGTACATGCTATAGGGGAAGATAATCCAGACACATTAGCTTTGTTCATCGCCACATGCTTGCGGCGCGGCGTTGCTGTTTCTTATACGTGCTCCGTGAATGCTGGAAGACCCCCTGCCAGTGTTTCCAGATTCGAGTTGCGTTGCCTATTCTTCTTTGACGGTTGTCTGCAGATGCTCAACAACATAGTTCACAAGTTCACCTTAATCATGGCAATACCGAATTTATGTATGATGTTGAGACTGGCATGGCGAATAACTTCCCAATCCGTCCACTTCGAGTTCCGAAGCTCCGTAAAGCACAAGCGTCCGTTCGCTGCACCCCCACTACAAGAGCCCTATCGGCGCGTATGATTCAAGTTCCAACAGGCAACTCTGGAATATAACTCTAGTCATCTGTCTCAACTGGCATGCGTGGCCTTTTGCGGTGAAACAGGACGACTTGAAGCTGACAGCATAAGCCTGTTCGTATCATCATGCGCCAACCACGTTCATTTGGCGCATGGGAAAGTGGCATTAGCCCCGAGATCCTTTCCGGCGAAGTAGTGTCATTGAGCGCTCCCCGTGTCGATGTATGATGGCCTTCGTCGCTAGTACTAAGAGTCATGGGCTAACGAACAACCAGACCGCCCGGAATCACATCTACTACCTGGAAGCCGATTGCGATGGCCATGGTCGCATTATGCGCACAGAAGTCTTGCCTCACCGGAAGATCCTTCCGGACAAGTACAACGTCGGTAGCAGTGTCAATGGATATGGGGGGGGGGCTTTCATTGTTGACTGCGATGGCCGTGTCGTTTTCGTTGATGGAGTCACAAATGCTGTGAACAGAACAGGCACCGAGGCCCACGACGTGGAAACGCTGATACATTCACTCAATGCCAAGTTTGCCGACCTGTGTCCGCATCCGAGCTCTGCGTCCTTCGTCCTCGCCCTTCGCGAAGAAGAGAGCCATGGTAAAACGCGCCCGGATACCAGCATCGTGCTCATTGATACTGTGTCAAAAACTTACAAGGTAGTGCAGTCTGGCGCCGACTTCTACTCTCATGCGCGCTTCAGTCCGGATGGTCAACACGTTTGCTGGCTCGAGTGGAACTTTCCACACATGCAATGGACTGGCGCTATCTTGAAGGTTGCAGAATTCCGCAACTCATACTTTGTCAATGCACGCCAAGTTGTAAGCGACATTGGAGTTGGTCAGCCACGATGGGGAACAAGCGGCACTTTGTACTTCGCCAGCGAGAGATCTGGATACCAGCAGCTCTATGCAGTATCGCTAGAAAGCAACGCGTCTCGCTGGCTACGCTTCAAGGAATTAGAGCAGTGCGAATTCGCCGGTGCAGAATTCTGGCTTTCGAGGTGAGTCACAAGAACTAGCCGTGCTATGATCAATGCTGATACAAGCACCTACAGTCTCACTTACTTTGAGCTCAGTGAGGACAAGATCGTCGCCACTTACACCAGAGATGCTACCAGTTTCGTCGCTGTGCTGGACTTGGCGACCGGCAAACACATTGATCTGGATCTTGAGATAAACGACATTGCCTACGATGCCATGCAACGCATCGATGATTACGAATTTCTCGTCATTGGCGCTTCGGCGAGCTGCCCACCAGCACTCTACCGCATCTCGCTCGATCCTGAAACGTTACATGTCAAAAACACCACGGTACTAGCTCGGAGCTTGAACATGTGCCGCATACCGCGAGGAAGCCTGTCGACGCCGAAACCTTTCAACTTTCCCCGTTCGTCCCCAGATGCAGACACAAACCCCGCTTTGGAACATGGCCATGCCTTTCTAATGCTACCAACGAGCCCGTGGTACTGCTCGATACCGGGGAAACTACCTCCGTGCATCGTATTTGCGCACGGCGGCCCGACGAAACATCACCGACCGAGCGTCAATCTCGAGAGCCAGTTCATGACGTCGCGCGGCTTCGCCGTGGTGCTGCTCAACCATGTCGGCTCGACGGGCTACGGTGGCACTTACCGGGACGCCATGAACGGGATGTGGGGCGTCTCGGACGTGCAAGACGCGGTCGACTGCGTCAACGCGCTGGTGCGGCGCGGCGTCGTCGACCGCGCGCGCATAGGCATTACGGGCGGCAGCGCCGGCGGCTACCTGACGCTGCAGGCCATGTGCACGGCGCCCGAGACGTGGGCGGCAGGCATAAGCATCTGCGGCATCTCCGACATGCGCGCGTTTGCGCGCGACACGCACAAGTTTGAGAGCTGCTACGACCAGGTCCTCGTCCGCGACATTGCGAGCCAAAGGCATGACGGCGTCAACGAGGACGCGCTATATGCGGCGCGCAGTCCCGTCGCGCACGCGGCCCGGCTTCGCGCGCCGCTGCTGCTGCTGCAGGGGACCGTCGACCCGGTCGTGCTGCCGAACCAGGCAACCATGTTTGAGGAGGCGGCAAAGTGCCACTTGTCCAAGGAAAAGATGAATGGCTTCATCGCGGATGAGGCGGTCAAGCTTGTCATGTACGAGAACGAAGGCCACGGCTTCCACCTAGCAAGCTCCAAGAAGCACAGTTTGGAAGAGCAAGAGGCTTGGTGGCTCAGGTCATTGTGTGGGAAGAGATATTCGTTGGCGTAGACAGGACGGTCCTTCAAGTACTCTGCTGCCATGCTCGTGACTCCGATACTCGCTTATGGCATCTGCAGCAGACTTTTGATATTACCAGACAGATGTAGATGCGGCTTTGGCTACGCGGACTCATGTGGATACCTGGGTACAGCCCTTACCAAAGCGGTTCAGATAAATGTGGACAGTAGTCCACTCGTTTGAAATTTCATGTGCAAACTCCATACGGACTGATTGTGCGATATGAAAACCTATCCTTCACTCTGTCCCCCAGGTTAGTATGGGACTGGGATCAGAGTGAGGTAAAGTGCGGATTGGTTATTCGCATATCTGCCGCTGCAAGGGCGTTCCGCCGCTTAAAAATAAAGAAACTGCAAATTTAGTATGCAGACGCTAGGAATTACATTCCTGTCACCCCCTGTCAAACTCAACTTTTCCTGACGTAGAACTGCTCTACTTGTTAAGTTGTACCAAGATTAGCGATTATAATAAATTACATCTTAAAACATTGAGAGAAGGCGTGATAATGCAAGGTAGTTGTAGGTCCTGACTAACTCCCTGGCCTCGCAACATCGTTCACCATCATTGTCGAAGTCGTGCCCGAGCACCCTAATGACTGCCAAGCCGGTCTGAAGATTTTTTGGAGCTACTCACGCCACCCCGCGATATCGGACGTCGGACATCGGACGTGGAGAGGCTGGTGCCCCTCAGTTTCTGCCCTTGAAACAATTTTCGCGCCGCACACCAAAAAGTCCACGAACGCGCGGTCGCGTCCACACCCAACACCATGACGACAACGACAGAGACGACGGTCATCCGGGTGCCCTGCTCGTCGGCGAACATCGGGCCTGGCTTCGACGTCATCGGACTCGCGCTCAACCTCTACCTCGAACTGCAGGTCAGTGTCACGGGCCAAGAGTCGTCGGAGCACTCGCTCAACTGCAAAATCACATACGAGGGCGTGGGCGCAGAGGACGTGCCGCTGGTCGCCCAGGACAACCTCATCACGCGCACGGCCGTGTACGTGCTCCGCTGCCATGGCGTCCGCGCCTTCCCCGCCGGGACACAGGTCCACGTCAAGAACCCCATTCCGCTCGGGCGCGGGCTGGGCTCGTCGGCGGCGGCCATTGTCGCGGGCGTGCACCTGGCCAACGAGGTGGGCGCGCTGGGGCTGTCCAAGGCGCGCATGCTCGACTACTGCCTGATGGAGGAGCGCCACCCCGACAACGTCGCCGCGGCCCTGTATGGCGGCTTCGTCGGCACTTACCTCAACGAGCTCTCGCCAGAAGACACGGAGCGCCTCGAGATCCCCCTCAGCGAGGTGCTGCCGCAGCCCGCGGGCGGCGTCGACACTGGCCTGCGCCCGCCCGAGCCGCCCCTCAACATCGGCCACTACACCACCTTCAACTGGTCGCCGGCCATCAAGTGCATCTGCGTCATTCCCCAGTTCGAGGTGTCGACGGCCAAGGCCCGCGCCGTCCTGCCCGACTCGTACTCGCGCAAGGATGCCATCTTCAACATGCAGCGCCTGGCTGTCCTCACCACCGCCCTGGGCCAGTCACCGCCCGACCCCGGCATGATCTACACGGCCATGCAGGACAAGCTGCACCAGCCCTACCGCCGCGGCTTGATCCCCGGCCTCACCGAGATCCTGCAGTCTGTCACACCCCAGTCACATCCGGGTCTGCTCGGCATCTGCTTGTCAGGCGCGGGACCGACGATATTGGCCCTGGCCACGGACAACTTCGACTCCATCGCAGACCACCTGCTGGCCCAGTTCAAAGCAGAGGGCATCACGTGCGACTGGAAGCTCCTCGAGCTTGCCCAGGATGGCACCACGGTCACGCGTCCCTCAACGACCACCACCACCACATCCGAGGCTGGCGATGCCTTGACATATGCTGCGTCGGGAGTCAGCATCGACGCCGGCAATCAGCTCGTGAAGCGCATCAAGGCCTCGACTGCCAGCACCAGACGACCTGGCGCAGATGGCGAGATTGGCGGATTCGGCGGGTTGCTCGATCTCCAGGCTGCCGGTTACACAGAAGCACCCATTCTCGTTGGCGCAATCGACGGTATCGGCACAAAGGTCAAGATTGCGTTCGAGATGGGCAAGCACGACACGGTGGGCATCGACCTCGTCGCCATGAACGTCAATGATCTGGTCGTCCAGGGCGCTGAGCCTCTCATGTTCCTCGATTACTACGCCTGCAGTAAGCTCGACGTTGAGAGTGCGGCCAAGTTCGTCGAGGGTGTGGCAACCGGCTGTCGCCAATCGGGCGCCGCTCTGGTGGGCGGCGAGACGGCTGAAATGCCGGGCATCTACAAGGCCGGCGAGTACGACGCAGGTGGTGCAGCCATTGGCGCCATCAAGAGGGGCGCAACGATCCTGCCAGACTTTGCGTCGATGAAGGAGGGCGACGTTCTGCTCGGTCTTGCGTCGAGTGGCGTGCATTCCAACGGCTTCTCTCTCGTCCGCAAGATCGTGGAGCGTAAAGGTCTTTCGTTTCACGATACCGCACCGTGGAGCACAGGCGACAAGATTGGCACAGCGCTGCTCACCCCAACACGGATATACGTCAAGCCGCTGCTGGCTGCCGTACGTCGCGGCGTCATCAAAGGCATGGCACACATCACGGGTGGCGGCCTCCTCGAAAACATCCCGCGCATGCTCCCCAAGACACTGGCAGCCGAACTCGACGCAAAGACGTGGCCTGTGCCGTCCGTGTTCAAGTGGCTGAAGGAGGCGGGGAGACTTGAGCACAGCGAGTTTGCACGAACGTTCAACACGGGACTCGGCATGGTGCTGGTGGTCAGTCGCGACGAGGTGCAGTCGGCCACGGAGATTCTGCAGGAGCACGGCGAGCAGGTGTTTACTGTTGGGCGGCTGGTGGCACGAGCAGACAAGGACGAGGAGTGCGTGGTGAACAACATGGACGTGTGGGGGTGAGGCGCGTCTGGTCAGCGAGAAGGCATTTCGTTGCGATGTGACTTGACGGCTGCCTGCTTTTTTTCCTTTGATATCCGCACCTAGACTTGAAACGAAGGTATCGATACATGACATGCACCAGCGTGAGCCACGATGCAGGCTCGAGGCTAGAAAGCCGCACATGCTTCTAGTCTCTGCGCGAGTGTCTACGTACATGCACGCGCATGCAGGCCGGGGGTGGTCGCGATAGCATGGCGTGGTTTCTGTGGAGAGGGGACGTGTTGGGGACGTGTTGGCTGGACGCTACCTGGGCAGCGTGCGTGTGTGGAGGCTGAGACACGACAAATGAGGGTGGCATGCGCGCTGGGGCGGGCGGTTTTGTTGGGACATGGGCGAGCAGCGCAGGAGTCATAGAGCAGCCTAGCACAGCGAAACATGGACACAATGAGCACGGGAAACATGGACACAATGAGCACCATGTCTGCATGCAGCCTAGAGCGCGTTGGCGGGCGTGTCGTGGTGGTCGGGGCTGGTCAGGGCGACCGTCTCACCCGCAGCCTGCCGTGTACACTTAACCGCCGCCCGCCCTCGCACCCTCGCCATGTCCTCGACCGACTCTCCCGCACACTCGACCCATCCCGTCAACACGACGACGACGGCCGGCACGCCCCTCAAAGCCGACGCCACGTCTGCGCACCCGCCCGCCTCGAGCCGCGACCCCACGCTGACGTCCAATGCCGCCCAAGGAGGACTCGCCGCCGCCCATGCCTCCCCCGCCGCCGAACTCGCCAGTCTTAAGATGAAGCTCAAGGCGGCGCTGCGCCAGTTCCCCGACTTCCCCGCCCCGGGCATCCTGTTCGAGGACATCCTGCCCATCTTCGCCGACGTGCAGCTGCACGAGGACCTGCTGCGTGCCCTGGAGCTGCACGTGCTGAGCGCCTCGACGGGGAAGCCTGACGTGGTCGTGGGGCTGGACGCCCGGGGGTTCCTGTTCGGCCCGTCTCTCGCCCTGCGACTGGGCGCCGGCTTCGTGCCGGTGCGCAAACAGGGCAAGCTGCCGGGGCCGTGTGAGACGGCCGAGTACGTCAAGGAGTACGGCAACGACTTCTTCCAGATGCAGGCCGACGGCGTGAAGAAGGGGCAGAAGGTCCTGGTCGTCGACGACATCATTGCTACTGGTGCGTCCACACACAACAGCCCCATTGCGCGTTGCGCGTGCTAACTCGCCCAGGCGGATCTGCATCGGCAGCCGGTACGCTCGTCGAGAAGCTTGGGGGCATTGTCGTGGGCTACGTCTTCATCCTCGAGCTCGACTTCCTCAAGGGTCGCTCCAAGCTCAACGCCCCCGTGCACACGCTCCTTGCCAGCCAGGAGCAGAAGCTCGGGTCGTCGGAGTCATGAGGCACAGACACAGGCTACAATACACACAAAAGCACGGCATGGAGACGGCGTTGGCATACTGCTTGGCACGATTTCCGGGCTGGTTGAATCACTTCGTACTTTTGACACTCCATCTGTACTTCTTCCACACCGCCATGCATGTCCAGCGTGTTGACGGCTGTTTGGTGACGCCACGTGATCACGTACTTATCGCAATCAAGGCGACCCCACGTCCTGGCGAGAAAAAATCTGAGCCTGCCCCTCCATTGCCTGATGCACCATCCCTGCACCTCCGTCCACCGGAGCCCCCACTTTCCATTCCCGTCAAGCGCCAGCCGATGCTAACCTGCGAGCTTCCCTACCACTCTCTCAATGCAACGCGTAGCCACAACCTTCGTACGACGCTTACCCACATCTTTGCTTACTTTTCAACACTCAATCAGACTCTCCCCAGCTTATCAGAGAAACATGTCGGAAATCAAGAAGGTCTTCACCGCCAATGCGTGCCCGCGTGAGTACTGTGCTGTGCTAGGGTCGTGTTGATGCTGACCGCTGTGTAGCTGCTGGACCTTATGTATGTTCTCTATGTCCTCACCATTGCCCGGTGCCTCCGACCTATTCTTCAACCATATGCGTTCGGATTCATATCCATACCCCTCTCCCTCATCATCTAGTACCCTCATCGCATACTACGATACACAAACGTGCACGAACAAGGGCAGGATATACACTGACAAAGGCAGAGCCAAGCCATCATTGCCGGCCCACAGGTCTTCGTCTCGGGCCAAATCCCCGCGAACAACAAAGGCGAGTTGATTGAGGGCAGCATCGCAGACAAGACAAAGCAGTGCTGCGAGAACATTGTTGGCATCCTCACCGAGGTGGGCGTCGGCATGGAAAGGGTCGTCAAGGTTAGATCTTGAACTCTACGCTTCACACATCATTCACGTCCTGACCGGTCCTCGTAGGTCAACGTTTTCCTCGACGATATGGCCCACTTCGCCGAGATGAACGGCATCTTTGAGAAGTACTTCGCGCACAAACCTGCGCGGAGCTGTGTCGCCGTCAAGCAGCTGCCCAAGGGTGTGCCCGTTGAGATTGAGTGCATTGCGTATACTGGTATGCATGCAAAGCTCTGACCGAAATCAATTTGTTGATCAGATTCAGGTTGAACCACAATCGAAGATAGTGGGACTGGGGGGCTGCGACAAGCATGGGGTACAGAGTCACGATACAATAGCCAGCAACATAACGATGTAATCAATGCTATCGAAGCACACATCCTCGATCACTTACTCGTAACCTCATATCTCTCCTCTCCGAGATGACGTTGTTTGAATTTGCTAAACTACATTCACCTGTACTCACGTCCTCTGTCGAGCTAATTACTACGCCTTTCATGTACACCCTGTCGACCAGCACTTCCATCCAGGCAATTCGCATGATGGTATCTTTCACAACGACCTCCGGTCAACACACCACCTGGTTGCTGGCATGGAAGCAGCATAATACCACTGACCGAGATGCGCGAAACGCAATTGAAATGTGAGTAAAGTCGATGTAGAGAAAGACCAAGGTGTCAAGAGCCATGAACATATGACTGGGTATAGTACAAATCGCAAAGGCCTACACATTATACCAGAATCAAACCCAGCCCCAAAATTACCACCTCACACGCGCAGGACCTCAATCAATCTCCACCGTCACCACCATGTCCCGCCTCGCCATACTCTGCCCGATTGTCCACACTTCCTTGGCGGCGCCCTCTGTACCCACCTTTCGGATGCTCGCCGTGTTCCACCAGCGGATAATGCAGACCAGGCTTCGCAGCCAACGCGTCTCGTATCTCATCCACACTCTTATCTGCCCAACCTCTGCTTCCCATATGTGAAAGCGGGTACATGGGCATATTCTCCTCGTGCATCACAAACTCGCCAACAACGGGCGCCGCGCGCGACATGATGATGTCGATATCTTTGCGGATCTGCTCGCAATACGTGTCGAGAGGGAGGTCGTTGACGTCGTCACCAAAGGGATTTTCGATTTCGCGTCCAATGAGTGCTATGCCAAGGATGATGTAGGCTGCAAAGCAGGATGCGGGAATCGTCACCCAGCCCAGGGCTTTGTATAGCTGGAAAGGGAGCAAGAGAATATAGACCCAGGTTATCTGCCCGATGGCTATGCTGTACGCAATGGGAAGAGGGGTGTTTAAGATGCGCTCAGTACCAGTAAGTACGTCATTCATGGTCGTCAATGCGTTGAGAGACTGCGTCTGGTAGATGGATACCTTGAACGTCCCATTGTCGTAGATGTTCTTCATGTAGCAAGACAGATGGGAAAGAACCTCTAGAGGCAAGTTGCCGAGTGGTGCGCGCGCGCGCTTGATCAGTTTCCGCGGGTTACTTTGGGCCATGGACAATCCAAGAAACTGCCCAGCCGTCTTGAAAACATTTGGCTTCTTGCGGGAATCGGGTTGGTCGGCATCTTTGGCGTACGTGTCGAGGTGCCCGACGAGATGCTTCAGGTCGTCGTAGTGCATATACGGCTCGAACCTCAGCTTGTGTTTCAAAGTAACAGCAAAAGCAGCGATCAAGTTCAGACAGCTAATCTTCTCCAATAGGTCTTGCTTGCCAAGCACAGCATCCTTTGCATGTCGCTCATCCACATGGATCCAGATCAAACGCGACAGGTTCTGCGATGCTAGTGTGAGTTGTGCCCAGTACTTGCGGCCTTCGTTGTAGCGTTCATAGGCCGTGGAGCTACGGAAGCTGAGTGCGAGACCGACGACGAAACCTAGGACCGTAAGGAGCAGCTGGTTGATGCCGACTGCACCCTATCAGCAAGTTGACAAATTTCGAAGCAGCTGGGGAGATGACTAACGATCGTGTACAAATTTCGAGATACATGTGATCGCTGTGGACCAGCCAGCGACGAAAAGAAGCGGCAAGATCATCTCTGGCGTGATACTGCCGTGCAGACGCAGAAAGACCGGCCATTTTGAATGCTGTTCGAGGTCCCGTGGACCAACCTGGCGAATTTAGCGGAGATCTATTGAAGCAGAAGAAAAGCAGTGTCGCGCATCTTTATCTTCGACATGTACTTACAAAGTAGTCGTCCAAGTCCCTGTCGGTGTCTTGCTTCGTCACCTGTGGCCGGGATGGCTGTGTGCCATTAGATGTATCTACCATCGTGGATGATTTCTCGGTCATCGCAGTGTCGAGAACGTCAAGTGTAAGAGTGAAAAGATGGAGACAGAGTGCCAACGGCATGGGGATTCGCGGTGTTCATATCCAAATCGGCAGTCGCGTGCCCCCTCCACGACGAGTCCCTGCCGTTAGCCAATGATGGACTCAAGGATCTGAGCACGTTTGACATTCACTTTGGCGCGATCGTTCCAAGACCTCAATTTCCTCGCTCCAAATGGAGAATTGAACATCCCGTCTTGGCGTCAAATTGTTACAGGTTCAGAATGTGTGCGTCAGACACCTGGCGATGCGCTGGCAGATTGGCACTTCAGTGATACAAGGGCAACTTTACTCCTGCTTGGTGCGATGTTGCATTGTACAAACGTAGTAGTAAACGCTAATTGCGGGGAGTTTCATCCTTGAGAGATGCAGGGGCTCCTTGGCGTTTACTTCTCATGGACAACACTACAGTCAATGAGCCCCCGGTTGCAGGGGGATAGCTATCCCCCAGTACGGACGCTGTTTCTGTTCTTAATTAGAGGGTTAGGCAGGAGGGCAGAACAGGCAGCAAAAGGAGGGGATCCGTATAATATAATTATATATTAAAAATAGAATAATTAATTAAATTAAAATATAATATATTAAAGAATAGTTATATAAATCTAATAAATTATTTATATTAAGAGATTTTATTTAAAATTATAAAAAGCTGCCTACTCTATTAACTATACTAAAAAAATCTATTTTCCTTTTCCTTTCTCTAGCTTCCTGTACATTACATATTTAGCCTAGGATTTTAGCTAAATATATAATCTTAGGAAGCTAGCTTTAGACCTAAAAAGTCCTAGTTTTAAACTCTCTATCTTCTCTTAATAAAATAGTAATAATGTTTTTAAATATACTAGAATAATAAAAGTTAGAAACTCTTAGACTTTTTAAGTAGAAACTATTAATAAGAGGTAGCTTAGTTTCCTACTATATATATAGTATATATATTCTTCTTATAAGTAGAAATATAGGTATAGATAGGAATATTAAACCTACTTATTTTAATTATAAGTAAGTTACTAGTTCTAGTTATAGGTTTACCTACTATTTATCTACTCTACTATATAACCCTAGTTAAGGTCTTAGCTAGGGTCTTTACTAGTTCTAGTCTTATACTTAGATATTATTTACCTGCCTTATTATACAAAAATTAGAGGACTCTTAACTATATCTTATATATAGAATATTACATATAATCTAATACAGAGTATTACAGCTAGCCTAATTATATAAGCTATAAGAATAAGTACTAAAAAGAGTAAGTAAAGTCCTCTATACTAATAAGATAACTATAATAATATATAGAGTATTATCTTATACTCTTACTAGTAATTTCTACTTAAGTAAAGTGTCCTGTATTAATCCTATTACTATAGTAGCTAATTAGTTAATTAATTATACTAGTAACCTAGTAAGACTATACTATACGTTAGCTAATTTAAAAGAAGTTACTACTTAGTATTTCTACTTAAGTTAAAAGTATAGTGTTAATTTTATTATTATTTATATAAATATTAATATACGCAGTATATAGGAAATACTATAAAGATTAGCTTAAAGTATAATTAATTAATTAATTATACTATACTAGCACTTCTTATAGTTTTCTTAATATTTACCTATTCTATATATCTAATATTATACTACTCTTATTAATAATATATATTTCTATTTATTAAGAGGTTTTAGCCTTATAATTTTAAACTATAATAAGCCTAACTAGAGTAATAATAAGGTTAACTATAATATAAATTAGCTAGTAGTCTTATTTTACTACTTATAATATAGGTAATATTACTAGTAACTATTTTATATCCTATTACTAGATAATAGCCTATTAAGAGCTATCTTCTAGATCTTTAATAAAAAACTCTACTATCCTAAACCTTAAAGAAGGTATAGGATAAATACTAGGTATATAGTTAACTAGGAACCTCTTATAGCAGATATAAGTAGTATATCTTAGGTTATTACTAATTTACTACTTAAGTTAGGTACCTATATAGATACTACTACTTAGTACATAGTTATAAAAGAGGTTATATTAGCTAGGTAGAGTTCTAGTATTATTCTTAATCTAGCTTAGTCTTAAAACTTTAGTAATACTAAGGCTATACCTTATTAGGTTTATAAGTTTTACCTCTTTTATTAGCTTTTATATATACTTAGCTTAGAATATATTATATTTAAGTCTTATAAGAATAATCTAATTCCTTACATAAAGGTTATTAGTAAAGCTTATAAATAGCTAAGAAGTTAACTTAGCTAATCTTTTAATAATATAGAGGAATTACTCTAATGTCTATTATATATAATACTGCAGAGGTCTAAACTAAGTAATATTATTAAATAGATAAAGTAGATAATAGACCTAGACAGTATAGACTAATATAAGCTCTAGGTTATTAGCGTAATAGAGTATCTTAATACCTTAAATAAAGTCTTTAGTAAGTATCTTAATAACTAGTATATTCTACCTTATAATAGTAGTTGTAGATATAAGGCAGTAAAGCTTTTAGTAAAGTATAAAATATTTATAGTATACCTTTAAAAGCTTATATTATAATATAATAGGTAAGAATATTAGTAACTAGGCTCTCTATTCTAAAGTTATCTACTTCTTCTAGCTACTTATACTATTTAAGGCTATATATATTAAAGTAGGGACGTTCTAGTATACCTTAGCTATAGCTAGATTAATATAGCTAATAGCTACTATACTTAGTTTCTATAGCTTACCTCTTATGCCTCTAAACTTAAACTTATTCTATATTAAGAACATTATCTTTATAATATTTAATACTATATAATATATAGTATTAATTAGAAAACTCTGTAAGAAACTAAGTATTAGTATATTAAGTAAAATAGACTAATAAGTTATACTACTTTTCTAAAAGTAATTCTTCTTTGCTATATTAGTTATTTCTATAGTATACGCGTTAAACTACTTTATCTTATCTTAAAGCCCTACTTATATTAGTATATTATATATATTATATAGGAAGTAGTACTGCGCCTCCTTTTTAGGTTACTTAGTACCTACTGTGTTACAGAGTCTATATACTTATTTTATAGTACCTAGCTTTTTTATACTTATAACCTAAGTAAGAGTAGGTCTATTACTTATTTACTTTAGTATTTATTTAAGCTAAAGAGTATCTGCTTATACTAGTTACTAGTAATATATATACACGTAGTGTAAATTCTTTACCTTAGTATATATTCTAAATACCTAGTATACTAGTATAAAGTTGTTAAAGCTCTTTTATAAGTAAGTATAAAAACCTATTAAGCTCTTTATATTCTACTATACTAGGTATATTAATAATTACTAGGGCTTTATCTAGGTAGTTATAAACTTCTAGCTACTAGTTAAGGATATAAATTATAATAGTAGAAATACTCTAGTAACTTTTAGTGTTTTCTATAAGTTTAATACTGTTAAGTGTAATATAGAGAGCTAGATACTAAGAGTTAATAAATAAAGGATTAAGGGTCTAAGAGTAGAGATTATTATATATCTCTCTACTAAATATATTATTATATAATCTATTCTTATTAGTGTCTAGATACTGCCTTAGAAGGTATAATTATAATACCTTTATATATAAGAAAACTAAAAAGAGGTATTTAATTCTAAGTATAAGTAGTATATAAGGGGCCTAATAGGTAGCTCTAAGTTTATCTAACCTTATTATAAGGCAGTGTTAGTATTGTAGGCAGTTAGAGTTAGGCCTATTAAATAATATACATCCTGCTACACAGTAATTAAACTATCTAAGTACTAAATCTATATACTTTACTCTTAGTATATCTTTAAACTGTAGCAGGTTTCTAATATTAAGCCTAAACTTAAAGTCTATTACTTAGTATTTCTTTCTTATCTGTAGCTAAGTATTATCTTTAAAGGCCTTATATATAAGATAATCTCTATACTTTAGTATCTCTTCTAGATATATTAAATTATACTAATATAAAGTTATTATTATATACTTACTATATAATATATAGTTTTCTACTTGTATTGCTATACGCTCTTTGTTTATCTTATTCTAGTTATTTATATCTCTGTTTAGTGCTATCTAGAGGTTAATATATAGAAACTCTTCTTCTAACGCTAGATTATTAGGTTAAATTTAATTATACCCTACTATATAATAAAATATTAACAGCTCTTTATATATAAATAGGTAGCTCTCTACCCTATATATCTTAAAATAATTATGTCTTATTATAATACTAATAATATAAACAGTACCTATAAATTTTAGTAAGTAGTAGCTGTAGTATACTCTACCTATATCTAGTATCTTAGTAGCTCTTAGTATACAGCGTAGAAAACTAGGTAGGAAAGGTATATTATATAAAATAGTAACCTTATTAGAGTTTTTAAAGTTTATCTCCTTTATATAAGTATTATATTTTTACTAGTAGAAATAGGGCATAGGTTTAACTCTGTAAATAGTACTAGTACCTATACTTAGTACTCTAGATGTCTAGGTATTAACATATAGAGCAGTTATATTAGGGGTATATAACTTAGGTTATTACTACCTACCCTCTATATAGTGCTAAGCTACTATAGTCTTCTATTATAGTACCTATATTATAATTTACGTGTTCTAAACGTAGTATTAAGGCCTAGTATATATATTAAAAGCCTTAAATTTTGCATTACTAATAAGTACTGTTTTAGATATATTATTACCCTTAAGTATTCTATCCTATTCTATCTAAATTTATTAATTCTGTTCCTAATTTACAGCGTTACTACTACCTACCCTTATACCTTAAATGTATAGCTAAAAGTTAGAGGGTAGTACACTATATATAGAAATAATATTTAATAAGATATTTAAGTAAACCTTACTACGTTATAGGGTTTTAGTTATCTTAAGAATTAAATAATTTATAAATTATATACTAACTAAACTTCTGCAAAGTCCTAAGCTAATAGTAGTAGTAATACAAAG